GGATGCTGGGAACACCTATAGGGATCCTGCCACACATGGGAGATTTGATCTGGAGTCAGGATATGATCTGAAAGCATTTAAAGCACAGAGAAACTGAGGCAGAAAGGATCCTCTCCCAACAAGGAACTAGAGCCAGCGTGGCACACCATTAGCAATGCCACACCAGAACGCTTATTTCCACAGCTATGGAAAGGGATTCACAGACCCTGAAGCAGTCTGTATTTTCTTTAGTTATGAGCAAAACCTCCTGACTCATTTGAATTACAAGGCTGGCTTTTCCAAACATCCCTACTGAATCTTCTGTGAAATTTACCTTGTGAAGAAACATCAAATTCCCAGCTCAAATCTGGGTCCATATTTACCATGCTGCTGTCCTGGAAGCTCAGGAGGTTTGTTAGAGCCATATTCAACAGCTTCAGCTCTTTTCAAAACTGGATCTGACACAGGAAAATATTTATAAGTACCAAGAAACTTCCCAAAAGAAAACAGCAACCAGCTGTAAGTTTTCTGGTGTGCTTATGGACAAGCCTACCTGGAGTTGTGCTGGGCTTTTGCTGGGAAGTGCTGTCCAGCAAAGACCTTTTCGCCAAGGCATTTGGATATGCAGCAACACAAAAGCTGCTGAAGGATGCTTCAGGCAGGGGGCTTTGAAAGTTTTCATTACAAATTGTGCATCCTAGTAAATGCATCCTAAAACAATGCTTGAATTGTTGTAAGAGCAGGGAAAGTCTAAGCCATGACTCTACCTGAGCTGCCAGCGAGGTATTGGCAGACACAGGTAATCACAGGCCTCTGGAAACTGGCTGGTTTTGCTGTATCTCACATCTTTTACGTGTTGCAGGATCTTCTATCCTGGATGCAGAGAGCCCTGGTAACATTTTTTACTTAGGGACAAGGTCCTTCATTGCAGGACATGTAGCCAAACACCCTGCTGACGTGACACCAGTGCGTGACTGAAGGGACTGAGCTGAGAACGAAGCACAGGACGCTGCAGAAGCTGACCTGGACCTTTGAGATGCAGAGTTTAAGATACAGAGTAGAGAAGGGGACCAATAAACGTCATTTCAAAACCCACCGGAGGTCTATAGAATGTGCAGCTCCTGCAGCCCCCTGGTGACAAGCAGCACCAGCCAGATGTCACCCACAGCACACACAGGAGTTGTGTGCTCTTCTCAGACAGAAAAGCATCTTCTTCTGTGCCTAATAAGAAATGCCTCCCACAAGAGCAAAGCTGCGCTTGGTGGCACCACGCTGGGCCCGTGAGCCAGGTTGTGTGGCTGGGATCCTTGAACACTTGGAGACCTTAGGTCTTTCCTCACCCCTGTGACTGTCCAGGCTTTGCTAAAACCATAAAAGCTCACCAGGAAATAGTACTGGGTTTGCATGGCAAGGTCTTAGTCATGGAGGGGCTCCAGGAGTGGTTTCTGTGAGAAATTGTGTGTGATGAACTGGCTGCAAATCCCTGCACTGCTGGAGGGGAGGAGATAGAGAAAACTGGGAGTGAAATTGAGCCCAGGAAGAAAGAAGGGGTGAGAGGATGGTGATTTAAGATTTGGTTTTATTTTCTGATTTTCTTGCTTTGATCTGATTATTAATAAATTAAATTAAATTTTCCCCAAGTCAGGTCTGGTTTGCCTGTGACAGTAATTGGTGAATGATCTCTCCTTGTCCTTATCTTGACCCATGAACATTCCTTGGCGTGAGCCTTTACTGTATTTTCTGCCCCCCATCCTGTTGAGAAGGGGAGCATTAGAGCAGCTTTGGTGGATTTCTGGGGTCCAGCTGGGGTCAGCTCAGCACAGAAGGAAACCCCAAATTCACCCACTGATGAGATGTCCCATCCATCTGCAACATGTCCTGAGCCTGAGCCCACACATGTAAACACAGGCTCCTTCCCTGAGCCAACAGACTGGAGCAGCCACGAGCAGGGCTGTCTCTGACTCCGTGTTTGAAACCAGGGAGAGAGGTGGGAGGGAAAAGTACACGGCCTTCTTAAGGATCTGGGAAGGCGAGTGGTTTGTTTCCCATATGGCATATGGGACGTGGTGGAGCAATGTGTCTCCTAACCAGAGGGACTAAAGAAGCCCCTGATCCCAGGGGAAGAGAAGGAATAATTGCTCTTCACTGTTTTTATAAAGCTAGAGCAACAAGGTGATTATGGACTTTCCTGAAGCAAGAAGGGTTTTCCTCCCAGACCAGCAGTGGCTGGAGGGCTCACTTTTTCCAGGTCTGAAGGAGGGTTCACAACTCTGCCCATGTGATGGTTTTGATTATTCCCATCTTGTATCATCTATTGAGATAAAACTGGTGTGAAAGACAAAAGAAGCTGGGCAGAGGGGATCATTTGCCTAAGGGGAAATGAGAAGGTGACAGCTATAAGATACAAAGAGCATTCATTTCTGGGCTCAGCACTTCAAAATATCTTCAGACTCAGCTCACATTTTCGATGGCAGGCCTCTATTGCTTCACATATCGCTGAAGTTGGTAGATGGACAGGGACATCTCAAGATCCCTAGCCCATCTCTCTTGGTCACATCAGAGCTGATTCCAGAGCTACGTCTGGTTTTATTCACCCAACAAGGCACTGTTGTTGGTCACCTGCAGCAGCCAGAGCTGTCCTATAGGTGTGGCACCCCTTTCACAACCACAGCCCAGGTCCCACGTGCCCAGTGATCCCTGCCAAGGAGCAAGGGGTCACTCGCTCATCCAAGCGAGGACAGGGACCCAGCTAAGAGCCCACAGGTGGCTCTACCTGCTCTCTGCACTGGAGTCAGCCTTTGCTTTTCCAGACCACACAAAAGGGCCACCAGAAGCAGAAATTGTCAGTCTAGAGGGAAGTTTAGCAGAGCCTGCAAGAGCACGACTGCGACACCTCCACAATTCCCTCAAAGCAAGCAGACCTGGAGGAGGAGGAGGAGAAAGAAGGAAATCTCCGGTGCTGCTTGGCTGGCAGGAGCAGATCTGCTGTAAGCTTGCAGCAGGTTCCGTCGGAAGCGAGAAAGGGACAGCTGAGGGAGTTCTGCCCCCAGCTGATGAGGTTAACAGATGGCCGCAGGAATTAAATTAAATGAGCAGAGAATTAGCGCAGAGACGAGGAAGGCGAATAAGGCCCTGAAAAGGCGTCATCATTTCTGAGGAATCACTGGTGAAGACAGGCTTTGTTCTTACCTTGATGACACCAGCACGACACCACTGATCTCATTGTGGGAGAAGAATTAGGCTGAAAGATTAATAAACCTGCAGGCTCGGACACAAACCAAGCACACAGGCAGGCTCGAAATGAGGCGCAGTGCAAAGCCCTGCATCCTCAACTTTTTCTGGAAGCCTATGGCACTGCTTGCTGAGCTCACTCTGTCAGCCAAAATACCACTGGATTCAGCATGGATCTTTGCAGACCCACAGGAAAGGAATAAACTGTGTGATTTTCTATTGTGTTATCTGTAGCCCTCACCTCAAGTCAGGGATGATGCCCTGCAGGTCACTAACATGGAAAAAAACCCAAAGCAGATATTTTTTTATTTCTGTATCTCTAGCTATATCTTCTAACTATCCACAGACAGTGACAATGTTGTTCAATAAAAACGAGTTAGGTGGAAGAAATAGTAGAAACTGGGGAATCAAGGGGCCCATAGAGATATGGAGAAGCTGCCTGGCAGTCCTTTGTCACTTCCCTCTGTCCTGCACTATTTCCCTCAGAGGAGAGGAAGGGTGGCTGCTCTCATTGCTAGCGCTGGCCTAACAATCGGCTGCTGCCCCACTTCCTTCTGGATGACTGCCTGGATAGAGCCAGTGGTACTGCTGTTGCATCCACATAGGAAGCAGAGATGGAATTACGCTTCCATAACTTCTCATTGACAAGCACATTCTTCACTACCCCCAGCCGGGCACTGCACGGGTGGTGGGGAGGAAGTTTGAGAGCTCTAATCTGCCCCTGCAGAGATGCTATCATCCGCCGATAATTCGTCTTCAGTACTGAACAGTAATAGCTGGCTGCCAAGCAGAAAGTTTGGGGAAGTCCCGAGGACTTGCCCGAGTCTGGAGCAGAGACTAGAATCTGTATTTTTTTAATGGAGGAATGCTGGGCATGCCGAGCTGCAGCAGCGCGCTCGGAGGTGCGCGCGGGCCGGAGCAGCCCAGGATCCCGGCGGGAGCAGCAGGGAGCTGGAGGCACCGCGGGCAGCCGGCACCGCCTCTGGCACCGCGGCTCTCGGGGCACGGAGCCCACGCTGGCTGCGGCTCCGGCGGCTCCACCAGGATCGGGAGCCGGGCTCGAGCAGCGTGACCCGAGCCGGGAGGCACCCGCGGGCAGCGGGGCTCGGCAGCAGCTCTGTCCCTGCAGCACTGGGAGAAAATGCCAGCGGACGCTTCGCCCCTCTGGAGACAAGTGCTGGCGCTTCCAGAGCCTGACCCGGAGCAGCACAAAGCCGCTGACGCTCACACAAAAGTTGGCATTATTTACAAAAGTTGGTATTATTTACAAAAGTTGGTATTATTTACAGCTCCCGGCGGCTCCTTGCGCGCTGCCAAAGCACGGGCTCAAAAAGGAGAAACACGAACGGCAGCTTTAAAGGTCTGCACAGATAAAAAGACAGACGCTTGACAGCTCTCCCCGAGGCAGCTGGCGGGACAAAGGACTGAGGCTGTCGCCTCTCACAGCGCTCCCTGGTCGCTGTCGCGGCTGCCGTGCGGGTGTCGCCTGCAGGCGGCCGGGCAGGGCCAGGGACAGCGCACGGCGACAGCAGCGCCGGGCTGCAGCCAGCGGCCACGGCTGGCTTTCCCTTCCCACACCCCTTCCAAGAGATCCAGGACAGCCCTGGAGCTTGGTCCTGTGTTTGTGGCATGCCCCCCAGCGGGACAGGGCGAGCAGGACCCAAATACGAGCCCTTAAACAACCAACACACGCCCTCTGATCAACCTCTGGCTCCCCTCTCCACCCCCTCTTCCCACAAGCCAGCTCCCACCGACCCTGCAGGATGTGAAGACACGGCCATCCACAGCGGTTTGAAACATTTTTAAACGCTTTTATTTACAGTGCTTGTTGAAAACAATATATATATTTATATCTATCATCCTCGTGATGTCTGTGCCATAGAAAACGCTGTGGCTATATTGCCTTTAATTTACAAAAAATGGTCACAAGAAAATCTGAAGGGAAAAAATGGAAATCAAAGTTTGGTCCCCAATTGTGTCTCTCTTGATTTGTTTTAAAAAAGCCTCCAAATTAAAAAAATACACAGCTCAGATGAAATTCATATATAAAAGCAACCCTTATCTTCCGAAAAAATTCACGAGGGCCAGCTTGCTGTCATGTAAACTTGGAAAAAAAAAAAAAAAAGCTTAAAATAAATCCTGTCTCCGTGTGTCGCTTAATAGAACCATTATTTGCTTGTAATATTCTTTGCCTCTCGGGGCTCAGGGGGAAAGCGGATGAGAAGAGGCCTAGGACTGGGGAACGCACCATGAGGTCTGTGCCCGCGCCTCCTGGCTCTGGGAGGAGCTCTGGCAGCAGGGCTGGGCAGCGGGAGCTCTCAAGAATCTCACACCAGTGACAAAAACAGGCGGGCAGGTGACAAGGGGACAAGGGGAGGTGCTTTGCCACGTGAAGCGCCCGGCGAGGTCGTGTGCCCAGGAAACCATGAGATCCTTGAGGGAACAGGAGCGCTGGGAAGTGGGGCACAGTGAAGGGATGCAGGGGAAGGGGGCAATTTCAGCTGGGGAATAATGTCATGGACGGGCTAGGTCTTTGGGTGAGAAGGGAACTGCCGTCTTCCCCGTCTGAGAGCATTTCTAATCTTTCCTCATCTGAGATTGTGTGAAGCCAGAGGCTAACGGGCAGTGCAAGCACAGGCTGGAATGGAGGAGGAGAGATGGACGGAACAGGGGAGATGGGAGGGGAGGACTCAAGCTGAAGAGCCGTTCTCTGTCTTCTGTCTCTTTGGATCCACTTCATCCTGCATCAGCCACGGGGAGGAAAAAGAAGGAGTTACCACCAAACAGTCACCACCCCAAGGTACATGATTTCTCCACAAAATTCTTAGCTCTTTCCTCCGTATGGAAATCTCTGCTAGGCCTAAATCCACTCTCCTCTAAAGCACTCTGGAGTGCCTGACACAGCTGTTCTGTTGGTCGTGCTTAAGATGTGGACAGTTCCATCCAGAGGGACGCCACACCCACGCTGGTACTTCCAGCAGGTGTAAGAAGCTGAGGCTCACACCACTCCACTCCCCTCAAAAGGAAGATCAGACCCTTCCATCACCACACCCTTACAAGTGCACCTCGTGGCCTGAAGCCCAGGAGACACAGGCAGCTCAGAGGTCATGGCCAAGCACAACCCAGCACCTCGACTCTCTCTCACTGAGCACCACAACTGCTGGTGGAGGGACCTGGATCCTACAAGGAGCATCCATCAAGTGTTTACTATCCCCTTGCCACATCAGATTTGTTTATCAGTCTGCTCCTGAAGCAGCGAGACCCGAGGCCTATTTGGGATTATCAGCAGCAGCATCCACATGGATTTGATCAACAAACAGCAAGTAGCCTCATTCCCTCTCCCCACCATTGTTCTTACACTACTACTCACCTCCTCCTCCTCTGCAGATCGTTTCTCTGCATGGCCATCCTGCTCCTGCCCATTCTCATCTGCTTCTAAGCACAAGCAAGAAAGGAAAATCACGGGTTAAACTCAAGCAGCATTTAAGGGAATGTAATCTCAGAGTCAAGAGGGATCAGAGAGGGAATTTCCCTCCACAATCCTCTATTCCTCTGCAGCCTCAAATTCCTTCAATTTCCCCTACCTTCATCCTCATCACCACCTTCTTCTTCATCCACATCATCAGGATTCTCTTCATCATCCTCGTCAGCTCCGTTCTCCTCATCCTGAATGAAACAAACCGGTCAGAAACTGGTGCCAGGATGACATGTCCACGTGCTCTTTGCTACGAGCACAACTTCCAGAGCTCCAGCCGCTCCAGGAATGCATTTGAGCGCATTGCTACTCCGACACCGTTATTCCCACCACCCCTGCTGTACACTCCTCCCAACCAGCCCTCCTTCACCAAGCCAATCCTTCCAGTCCATCCCCAACATGAAGCTCCTTGTCTCCCACGAGCTTACATCCCGATGAGCTGCTGCCATCCCTCCCAACAACCAAAGCATCTCTCTGATTACAGGCTAATGACTTAGCCGAGGCTCACGGTACATCTGCTTCCAGATCCCTCCCGAGCTCCATCAATCTGTGCGTTTCCTCACTGTTCCTCCCCCCACCTTCTCCAACACATGCTCCTTGTGCACCTCAGGATACCCCAGTGGGCGCAGGACCACATCTCCCGTGCCACATTCTCCCACTTGTTCTCGGCTCCATTCCCTGCTGTGACCTTTCTTCTCCCTGGTGGGCTGTGGTGACTACACTAAGTCCTTCAAGGCTCATTCTCCACAATTATCCAAGAGCTCGCTCTTCTCTTCATCTCTATGCTTGGCCTGCTCCCTTTCTTAATCTCCCATATTCCCTTCACATCTGCTACCCACAGCGAGCACAAAAACCTCCCCGATGTCACCAAATCTGTCCCTCAGAAGAACCTCACCTCTACTACCTCCTTCTTCTTTTCTTTGTGGACTGCTTTCTCTTCGAGTTTTTCCTTCTTTTCTTTCCTTTCCTATATATGAAATGAGGTGCGGGGGGAGGGGGGGGAAAACCAACAACATTCCGGCGGTCAGCGGCAATAAAAGACGGGGATGCCTAAACAAAGAAGGCTCGCAGGAGAGGCGGAATAGCGGGCGAGGAGACATATTAGGCGTTAAATCCGCCCGCCCGACAAAGGAAAACAGCAGCGAACGCGCGTCAGAGCTGCTTTTAGCCCGCACACGCGTGTGGAGGCCAGAAGTGGCACGGAAGAGTTTTAACGATTTATCAAAAAAAAAAAAAAAAAAAAGGACCTCTCTTTCTCCCTCTCCGTTCTACCCCTCCCTCCTCCTTCCCCGGCCATGCGAGGGCCCGCGCTTTGTGTCCGCACAACTTTCCCCCCGCTCCGCCGTGACACCGCTCCCCGCCCCCCCCCCGCCCTCCGACCCGGCTCCGAGCGGAGCCGAACCCCGCGCGCGCTCGCGCCGCCCGGCCAATGGGGGGCGGGGGCGGGGCCCCGCCGCCAGGGCGCCTCACGGAGCCCTCGCCCCCCCGCCGAGCCCGTTCCCTCCCCTCCCGCCGGGAGCGCGGCCGGTGGCGAGGATGGGAAGAGGGGAGCGGGAGGGGAGGGAGGTGTCTCACCTTAGCGCTCAGCTCCGCCGGTGCCTCCTCAACGCGTTTTTCCGACATCCTGGCCCCCCGGTTGCGAAGGGAAGAGGCCGGTGGGAACCGTGCGAGGGAGGGAGGGAGCGGGCGAGAAGGGGTCAGCGGCGGGAGCGCAAAGTCCCAGCGGTCCGCAGGCGGCGGCAGGATCCCGCCCCGGGGGCCAAAGTACCAGGGTCTCCCGCGGTGGGGGGATCCGCCGGGGCAGGGGATTTATACAGCGCCGGTGACGAGGGAAGGAGGGACCTGGGGAGGGAGGAGAGAGGGACGGGAGGCGGAGGAGGGAGGGGAGAGGGACGGGCCGCCAGAACAAAGTGCGCTCGGCCGCGGCCGCCCGGCAGCGGGGGCGCACCGCGGGTCCCCGCGAGGCGCCGCACGGCCCCGTCGAGGCCAGCCGAAAGCCCCGCTCCGCGCCGAGGTGCTGCGGCTCCGACGGGAAGCGTCCGGGAAAGGGAGGGGAGCCGAGCCCTCTGCCCGCAGCACGCCCGGGGAGCCGCCCGTACAGGCTGCCTGGCTCTCCAGGAGGAATCCGGGGGAGGCGAGAAGCGGCGCTGCGGGGCCGTGTGGGAGGGCAGCGCTGGCGACACGCGGCCTCCTGCCTGGAATTTTCCACTCCAGCTGCCCGCCCTTCCTCCCGCTGGAAGCGCTCCCGGCGGCGGGGCTCCTCCCGCCCCTCCCCTTCTGCCCTCCCCACCTTCTCCCCCCGCCCGCCCAGCGCCGGGCGCTTTTCCCGCGCTCCGCGCGCGGCGGAGGGGCTGGGCGGGGCCTCGGGCAGGGGGTGGGCGGTGCTTCGCGGAGGGGGTGGGCGGGGCAGCCGGCGGTGGCGGGGGGGCGGATTAGCGAGCGCATCCCCCGTCCCCATATAAGGAGGGGCTGAGGCTGGGGCGCCTGATTGGGCCATTCAAATGAGCTCTCTGCCTGGCAACAGGTTTGCCATTGGTTGGCGGCGGCCGGTGTGCCGCGGGGCGGGGGCGCGGGGCCCTTTGGCGCAGTGCGAGGCGGGAGGGGCCGCGGGCACGTGGGGCGGCGGGAAGGCGCGCGAGGGCGCGGGCATCGTCCCGCTGGGCTCCGCTCCGAGTGCCCGCTCCCGGCCTCCCGCTCCCGGCCACCGGCCCGCAGTGCACGGCCTGCGACACTGACCCCTGCTGCCCGCCCGCCCGCCTCAGGCCCGGGCTCTGGCAGACATTGTGCCGGTGCTTCCCTCCGGGCTGGGAAGGATCGTCGCCCAGCACCGGGTCTCCCTTTAGCCTAATGTCCTTCCTGCAGAACCGCAGGTGGTGACTTGGAACTGCAGGGATTTGTTGGTAATGAAACAGATGTTCCTGTAGCCGCTCCTCAGCCCTTTGGTTACCAGCTTGAGCAGACTGGGATGACAAAATTCCCTTCACCTTTCCCAGAAGGTTTATATCGTCCCGCTCTTAGTCACAGGCTCATCCAGCAGAAAAAAGAAAATAAATCCGCACGCATTTGCAGGCCTACCTGCATACAGACGTGAGCGTGCACGTGAGCGCGTAGGGACGTACAGGTGTACGCAGTCCTTCTGGCAGGTGCAAGGCAAGGATGTTAATCCATCTGGTTGGAAAATGTATTGAGGTGCACAAGCCCTTCTTGTCCTCCAGATACAAACCCAGCCTCTGTGCAAAGCCAGATTTGGAGCTGCTGCTCTTGAGTTTAATCGAATGTGTCTCGGTTCGAGCATTTAACAGCAAAGCCATTGGTATTCCTGGGGCACAGGGCACTGAGTATGTATCTCCTGAAGGAAAGCATGAAGGAGATTGGATAAATTATGATCTGTGTGACAGGAGGTAGAAGGTCCCCACCTTGTCATGTCGTCTCCTCCACGGCAACAGCTGCTTCTCTCATGATCTGACTAATTGACGTTCTTCCCAGCTGCACACAGTGCAGAGTGCCTGCCCCAAAAACAGTCCTGTAACTCAGACACACACATCTAGACTGGTACCAAAATAAACCAAATTATGAAAATGCATGCACTAATGTTTTTTTCCCCCACTGTTTCACAAAACCCATCTGGCCAATTTCTCAGGTCTAGCTGCTGTCAGCATTCCAGCCCTGGTTTGGTTCAAGTAGCCTTCTTTCATCCTTCTCTTTTGCATGAAGAAAATATTGATTTCTAGATATACACTTAAAAATGGGACCCAAAATAACCTATATAGGGGCCAGATGTTGTTCCCCTCTGCTTCTGCTTGTCAGAAGGTGCATGGCTCATTGCTCTGCTGTTCTCCTCACCAATCCAGAATTTTTTTTCCAGGATCCTTTTCCTTTACACACTCAACCACTGAAAACATGAAATTACATTGACACGTATCCCTTGGCAAAGACATCTTCACATTAACGCACAAACAGGCCTTGACACAACATCCTAGAGGGGAGAAAGCAAAGGATTATGTTCAGAGATGTTCCCGTGCCCAAAGCTCTGTGTTGACACAGACTGCGCACCCACGGATGCAAACACACAAACACCTGTTTGTGCAAGGGGAGCTCGTTTCCAGCAACCTGTGGGATGGAGCTGTGGGGTCAGCACTACAAGCTGGCATGGCAGCAGCGAGCTCTCCTTTGCTCCCCAGCACCTGCAGTCTGCAACCTCACATTGTCCCTTCCATGCTCCCCACCCCATCCCCTTTGCAATTTTTCCCTCATCTGCTGCTTCTTTGCATTTGTCTCCTACCTGTGTTCTTGGCAGCACTCTTCCCATGGCCCTCTCCCTGGCTTCTCTTCGTGACATCCTGTATCTTACTACAAAATTCATCTCACATCCCCTCGTTTGTTTTTCACGTCCCATTTTGTGGGATTGTGTCCCATTTTGTGGGATTGTGCATGATTGTGTCAACTCTGCTTTTCCTCTTAAATCCAACATGAAATTCTTCTTCATTCCTTGTGACCTGCCTGTTTCTGCATTCTGACTCTTCTTGCCCTTTGGATCCCGGTGGTGAGATTCCCTGGGCTTCTAGTGTGCAGCTGCTTCCCTCAAGCCCTGAGGCTATCCACTGACTGTCTCACCTCGCTCTTCCCTGTGACTTCTGCTCCTCCACCTGATCTGTGCCACGCTGCATTTCGCCTGCCAGATCGATGTGCAGCTTTTCTCCGCTCCTCTCTCCCATCTGTGCTTTCCCCTTTGTTGCAAACGCCAGTACACTCATTGTGCGCTCTGCAGATGCCAGTCCCTGCTCAGAGTGTTCTGTCGTCTTTGTAGTCGCTGTGCCAACTCAGCAGAATATATTCCATCCTTTTTGGGGACTTATGTCCTTCGACAAAATGAGGGAGCTGCAGAAGTTACGTGACAGATCGTTGTGTGGAACAGATGCTGGCCGTGCCTGCAGCCCAGACAACAATGGGAATGTCATTTTCTCCATCCAGTGTCACAATTTTGGTGCTGTACCGTGTTTGTGCTTGGTGTTTATGTAGGTGGGTACATACCTGCATGTGCACGGGGGGGATATTTTCCCTCTGATGCATTCTCTTACTTTGGTGAGTGTAGAAAGTATGGTACTTTTCTACTGAGGCGTGCGTTGAGCTTGCTGGCGTGTGCCATCATACGTGAGCACGTGGTTGAGATGTGTTTGGGCTTTCATGCGTGGTATCTGTTTTTCTGCTCCCAGCAAATGCGGGGTGAATGCACCTAGAAGCAATTATTTATGCATTTTGGTCTATCACCTTGCTAGTCATGTCACTGTGTTCTGATGGGGGCAGGAGGGACGGTGACTTTTGTGTTTATTTTGAAGGCTGAACTAACTAACTGTGAGCCATTTTTCTGAGCAGAAGCAAAACACAATAACTGGGTATTTTAAGAATTATATTTACTGAGCTAATTCCTAAGTGGTTCCAAACCTCTTCCAAACAGTTTGCTGAATAACAAAAGAGCAGAAGCATGTGTATTTGCATTAAATTTTCTTAGATTTACATAAATATGAAATATCTGTCCTTTCACTTACAGCAAAAGTAGCAAAATCTCAGTGTGCAGAGGGAATGTGTTTGGATGCATTTATGTATTTAATCCACACTGTTCATCTTTCTGTACTGTGTCCATTAAAAATCCCAGCAGATAAACCGCTTTGTTCTTCTTTCACAATGCTGTATACCGAATTTAAGATGAAATACCCAAGAATTCAACCACCGGCCACCTTTGCATTGGGAAATGGCTTCCTGAGAGGCAGCATATTTAAATAAGCCCTGCAGGAGGGCTGGAAGCAGGGTAGGTAACACAAGGAGAAGAAGCAAGAGGAGTAGAAGGGAATGACGAGGGGTGACACAGCCTGTCAGAAGACTGGAAAGAGGAGGGATGTTTTCAATCGTGATTTTTTTGTGAGCCTCTCTTTGCTAACGCAGCACAGATGGAGGTCGTGGCTCTCACTCAGTGTGACAGACACACTCTTAACACGAGCAAAATATTCTGAAAGTAATCGCTGCCACACAACGCAGGCTGCAGCCACCACAACCTGGCTGTAGCATCCCAAATACGAATTTCCACATTTGAGGATCAAATCAGAGCTGTCCTTCACTCAGGGTGCCCTTCATCTGAGGTCGGAGTTAGTTGTTGGGTGAGGATTACGTAAGAGGCGCAGATGAAGGGCGCCAATGAGGAAATGGCTGTGGGTAGCTCTGACTTCTGCTAACGAGGATTTCTTTGTCTTCCAGGCGTGCGCGGGGCCCCTGCAGCGTTCGGCCGCGCTCTCTCTGCCCTCCTGCCCCAAATGCTCGCTCCGTGCCGGCAGCAGGTAACCAGGCAGGTTTCTCACCCTGCCCTTTACGTGCCTTCCCCGCGTGATGCTCAGTTGGCTTTCCGGGGATGCCGGGGGCGGCGGGCAGCACCGGAGCAGCGGCGGGGCGGAGCCCAGGGCAGCGGCGCCGCTCATCGCTGCCCGCCGAGCGCCCGCTGCCCGCCCTTCCCCCGCTCCCGCCTTCCCCGGCACAACCTGGGCAGCTCCGAGGGGAAAAGAGAAAGAAAGGAAATGGAGAGACATAATGGTTTTTGTTCATTGTGAAAAGAGAACAGAGAGTGTGAGAGGAGCAAGATGGGAGCCTTGCTTCTCACTCACACCCCCTCGTCGCTCCTTTTTCACTGGCCATGCCCTTGGAGCACCTCGGGAATAACTGGTGAGTGCTGTGCAGAAACCTCTCCTGCCAACGCTGCAGCGAACAGATCCTGCATTCCTCAGACCTATGGCCTTGTCCGCATTCCACAAAAAGGTTGCCGTTCTAATTCCTCCTTCCAGGGTTTCACGCAGCGTTTGCCGCCAGCGTGACTCTCTGCAAGCAAGGCTCCCTCGAGGTTTGCTGAACTGGCAATGGCCCCGGAAATGCAGCCTTTGGTAAGGTGTCCATCAGCTGTAAGGACTGCCTGGAAAGCTGCAGAAATACCCAGGGAGAGGCACAGCCTCAGCCCCCAGTCTCACAAACTCAGCCCTTGGCTTGCACTTGCAGAGGAGCAGCATTAGGGACAGAAAAAGGATCTGCAGAGCAGTGTTTGTTCCTGACTCTTTTCTGTTCCTTTCTCCTCTGTGTTTGAAGGCATTAATGCCTGGCTTATAATTTGGAAAAACTGATAGAGCCCTACCATCTCTGGGACTTTGCAGGAGTGGGAGGATCACTAGTATCCAGGGGACAGCAATTTATTTTATCCCAGATCTGGGGAAAAGAAGAAAGAAAGAAAAAAAAAAAGAAGAAAACCGAAAGATGTTTACATTTCTGCCCTAGAAGATCTTTACCTCCCTTTGCAGCCTGACACTTGAGGTCAGCTCCACACTCCAATCAAACACCAAGAGTGCCTCAGAGCAAAAGGAAAACACACCAGACAGGAAAGGCTTTCCAGGCTGGAGGTCTCTGAAGGATGATTCAGGTTTGCAGAAGCAGCATCAGAGAGGTTGAGGCAGCGCCAGCAAGGGCTTTGTGTGAACTTCAGCACTCAGAGATGAGCTCTGAGTGGTGACAGGAGCTGTTTCAGTAGCTCACTTGTGAACAGCCTCCCTCCGAGAGGCTTAACCCGTGCTCTGCCCATAGGACTTGTGTCCACCTCATGATCCTGCACCATTGTGCTGTCGACAGTTCCCCTATTGTGGATGTTTTGGTTTCAGTAATTGCAGAATGCAATTACTGTGTGCAGAAGGGACTTCTGGAGAGCCTTCTGCATGCACACAGGCACGGGCCTCCCGTGAGAGGTCTTCTTTCTCAATACCAAGCAGTTCTGAGACCTGCTGGAGCAAGAAGTATTGCCAAGTCCTCTATGCATTCCACGCGTGAGCCATGCTACTGGGTCATTTTCCTCTGTCAGACTCCGAAATCCAAGGACATGGCTCCTGCCACAACTCAGGAGTTCAATTTTTCAACCACTTCTTGCAACCTGCTATTTCCAGTCCTCTGGCGCGGGTCCAGTCTGGCTCCTGCACATGGTGGGCCGGATGCAACAGTCAACAGCAGCACCACTGAGGAAGCGTGCCCTGGGCTGGAGCTGGGATGAGTCAGTCTGCTCTCTTCCCTGTAATCCAGTGGGGCTGGCGGTAGCTGAAGGCAACCAGCATTCCCCAGAGATGGTGACAGAGGTGTCATCCACCTGCTTTCTAGAGATTCCCCACCACTGCTGTAGGTGCACACAAGTACCTAGGCTTCGCCTGTGATTCCAGTGGCTGTCCAGGATCGGTCCCTGATGGCCCACAGCTGGCTCACAAAGTGATCCTCCCTGCTTCCGCCAGCAGAGCACTGCGTGCGCTCGCTGTGCATGCGCTCGGCACAGCCAGGCAGCTCTGTGGGTGCCTCCCACATGCCCGTGCCGTGCAGGAAGCCTGGGATAAGTGCTGCCTCTGCAGCAGCCAGGCAACGCTGTGGACTCTGGCCGGGAACCAACTGGCCACGAGCCACAGGGGTTACTACAGCATCACAGAACATTCTGAGTTGGAAAGGACCCATCAGGATTGTCGAGTCCAGCTCCTGGTCCTGCACAGGACCATTTCCAAGGGTCACACCGTGTGCCTGAGAGTGTTGTCCAAACACATCTTGAACTCTGTCAGGCTTGGTGCTGTGGCTACGTTCCTGGGGAGCCCGTTGCAGTGCCCGGCTACCCCCTGGGTGAAAAACCTTTGCCTGATATCCAGCCTAGACCTCCCCTTACCCAGCTTCAGGCCATTCCCACGGGACCTGTCACTGGTCCGCAGAGAGAAGGGATCAGTGCCTGCCCCCGCGCTGCCCCTGGTGGGGAAGCTGTGCGGAGCGATGGAGCCTGCCCGGTCCCTCTGTTACCACCGCATCTTCCCATTCCCATTCCCCTTCCCATTCCTATTCCCATTTCCATTCCCATTCCCATTCCCATTCCCATTCCCATTCCCATTGCCCTTCCACTTCCCATTCCCATTTCCTTTCCCATTCCCATTGCCATTCCCATTCCCGGGCTGCCCGGCGGGAGCTGCGGCCCGGGGGCACCGCCCGCGGGGGACGCCAGGGGGCGCTGTGCCGCGCGGCCCCGCCTCGCCCGCGTCCTCCCCCGGGGCNNNNGGTTCCGCCGCTCCGCCCTCCCCGCCCTCAGCCCCGGCTGCGCTGACCGCCCTCTCCCCTCCGCAGAGGCCGCCCCCGAGCGAGGGAAGCATGTTCCGGCTGATGAGGGATGGCGAGCCGGAGGACCCCATGTTTGCCATGTGAGTCGGGGTGGGCATTCTGCGGGGCGATCGGCGGCGGGCAGCCAGGGAAGGAGGGAGGGCTGCGGCACGGAGCGTCCCCAGGGAAGTGTGCGCTGGCCCCGCGTCCCGCCGGGCGGGCAGAGCCGGGCGGGCCCGGGAGCGCCGCGGCTGCCGGGGGCAAACACGGACACCTCCGGAGGGGCAGCGCGGTGCCGGGGCAAACACGGGCCCGCAGTAACAGGGCTCGCGTCGGTCTCGTTTCCGCGATATTGGAGCGTGGTCTTGGAGGAAAGCGTAATAAAGTAGGCCAAAAGGCATCGCAGCTGTCTTGAGAGGAAGAGAGGGCTGGAATAATAACTAATCTTTTTCTTTGCGCGAGGATTTTTTTTTTTTTTCGTTATGCAAAGTAGGGTTGCAGTTGAGATAGATAAAATCTGCTGCTCTGTCCAGTGTTTGTTGCTGTTCTGCACAGGAAGTCATTAATGGAGCTGGAGAAGGCTGCTGAAGCAGTTGTCAAGTTGTGAGGAACAAAGTAAAGAGAAAACAACGAGTAGTTTTGAAACACGAGTATTGAAATCTAACAAAGGTCCCAAGAACTCTTCCTGGGATTCCTTTCACTAAATGTTTTTGTTTCCGTCCTCAGTACAGAAATTGGATGCTATTGATAAATTTTGGCAGTGACACTAAGTTGGCAGCCCTTGCCAAAGTGGATAAGGAATAGACTGTAATACAGGAAGAATTTGATTATGTTAAACAAGACACTACTAGAAATTTGGTGAAATTTATGTATGTAGAAGAATAGTCAATCTTTTGCTTAGGAAATCAATAGTAAGCCAGAATTTTATCAGCTGTGAGCAAATTAGCAGGAGAGGAGACCTTGATGTCCCAGTTAGTCACTGAATGACTGTGTGTTCTCATTTACATGGCAGGTATGAGTCTAGCTTTTATTATGGGAGGCATTTCCAGTAGAGACAGAAAAGTATTGGTTTTAAGTATTTAAGTAGTGGGTACTACTGTCATCTCAGGAATAATCTGTGCTGTGGAGGTCATTAAAGCTCAAGAGGGATAATTGCAGGCTACAAGATGTGCAGGAAAAAAGCTATGGTATTTCCCAGAAGTTTCTAATTGTGGCCATCCTATTCTGACTCTTTATCCTTACCCTCCTTTTCCTCCTCTTGCTTCACCAACCTGTGTGAATGCATGCAGCCCTCAAAGTGGAGGCTGCAAAAGAAGGGAATACCAGTTGGGGATCCCCTTTCTCCCTCAAATCTGGAAAAGCTGTATGTGGTCTCAACCCCTGGGGGCAGAGGGGTGTCAGGCCATGCAGTCCCTTCTGGAGGTTCCACTCTTGCATTTCACTGTTTGTGTCCGTGTACATGGAGGGGTGAGAGGACGATATGTAGGATCTCCTGCTCCCTGGTGCCATTAAGTGTATTAGCCTTCGCTTTGCAGCAGGGAAGATCTGGCACCTCCCTACAAAAGATGTCAGAGCAGTGAGGTTCTGGAGTGGCCTTGGCCCTACTAGTCTCCAGAGCAGTACTGAAGCAGAACACCAAGCTGCTTCTGAGCAGACAGAAATTAGTACCTGAGAGGGCTTCTGTGGTATGAAACCTTCTACCACAAGAAATGTGATGAGATCCAGAGATCCCTTCCAGCACCAGGAGTCACCATGGACAGCACAGACATCTCAGGATTCTGAATTTTCAGCTTGGGAAGGAGTGTACAGTTGTGCAAGAATAACACAGAGCTGGGAGGAGCGGATTAAATGGGGCTTTGTCCTCACCATTGTTCTCTGCACCTCTCCAAAGGGATCCTTTTGCCATCCACCGGCAGCACATGAACCGCATGCTGTCTGGGAGTTTCGGGTTCGGGCCGCTCCTTGGCATCACGGATGGGACCACCCCTGGGGCTCGCCAGGCTGGCCGCAGGATGCAGGTAACACAGGGGCTGAGCACGGGCCAGAATTCCTCAAACTGATCTGGCAGTTTGTGTCTCCCGCCCTTCCTGGGCTGGGCTCCCCCCTCCCCTCCACGCAGGTGGTGGGTGCAGAGTAAATCTCTTAGGCAGTGGTGTTCTGGTCCTTCACTTTATTCCACCTGGATTAAGGTGCTGAATGCAACTGTGCTCTGGGTTGGACGGGAGGAAGGGAATAAATACTAAATACGTGTTGTGTCTCAAAGTTCAAGGATGTGAGTTCATATAATGGGGAGAAATTTAGGAGCATTGCCTCATGTCTGGTTTGTTAGGGGTGCTAATGGTTTGAACCCCTAGGGCAATCTGTGGGGCACTTTCTTGATCTGTTTGTAAAGCCTGAGTGTTCCCAGTTCTGTTTCTGAGAAGGATTAGTGTGTTCTGTGAGGGTCTAGTGTTCCGCTGTTGCAAAGTCATTCTCTGTTCTGTTTTTCTGTTCTCCTGGCAGGCAGGAGCTGTTTCACCCTTTGGGATGCTCGGCATGGTAAGTTTTCTGTTTTTCTGGGTCAGATTAGAGGCTTTCCAAGTAGTGGCTCCATACTGAGATTCATCAGCACTGTGTGCAACCAGTGCTAAAATGAAGCCATCTGTGAGCCTGACCAGCTATCCTACCAGGTAGGGAGGATGGGAATGTCTGCAGAGACCAGGATGAGCTTGAGATTTATAGTAAATGGAATAGGGAAGAAGGTATTGAACTGAAACTGGAAGCATCTGGTTTCTCCTGGACCTCTCATTGAGTTGTTTTATGACTTCAGGCCTTTACCTTGTTTCCCCTCTAATGTTTTAAAGCTGTCCGTGAGCTGTTTTTGAAGAGGGAGTCTAACTCTCTGTATATGGGGAAGTTGTATTTGCACCTTGACCAGAGAAAAGTCATAAAGCTGTTATAGCACAATATTTCATGGGAATTGGGACAGTTAATATCTGGGAAGAGCAGGTAGTCCCTTAATAACCTCATATGTCTGAGAAGAAGCTGCAGATGTGGAGGTAATGGAGGAGCTGTGAGGACGCCAGGAAAGGACTTGGCCATCAGTAGGCAGAGGGGATTATTGCACCTCCTTTGCCGGCGGTGGCAGCTGGAAAGCCAGCAGAATATTCAGCTAAACAGGGCTGGAATGAGAATGGCTGTGTGTACGTGAGAACACTGCGCTCGGAGCGTGCTGATCTCCGTCTTCCACCGAAGTGACACGGTGGAAATAGGTTATTCCAGATCCAGCAGCTTTAGCTGTCTTGCTCTGCAGAATTGCCTCAATGAAAGAGACTCCAGCGTCCCGGAATTTTTGTAGCTCAGAGGAGGATTAATAAGACTACAAACACATAGACTTCAAAGCATAATAACATTGTGTGTGAGTACTGCTCTGCTGGAAACGAGAACAAGAGGCTACTCGAGGAAACAAAAAAAAAAGAAATCAGCAAGTTTGAACTGACATTGTAATTTTGTTTACATATTGCACAATTAACCTGTGAGACCTGCTGGCCCAGGGTGTTACTGCAGCATTCAAGTTTACAGGATGGAAAAGGCAGGTGTTTGTAGGGGAAAATAAGCAAATTTGTTATGCTAGAAAGAAGACAATCAGTGGAAATTTTCTTAAGACCACTCTTAGTGCGCATGCTGAGATTTCTTCTAACTTTGCTGAGTCCCCAGGCTTACAAACCCCAGTGCATCAGCAGTTGGATCCAAAGTAAAAGAACAACCTTTGCCAGAACATTAGGCAATGCAACCTGAGAGAATGGAGAGAACAGCAACCCCAAATTCTGTTTTGGTGGTTTTGTTTTGTTTTGTTTTTCTGAGCTACTGAAAGAATGTGAAAAAAAATTCAAGGTTGTTCTTCTTAGTCAGCAGGTTTTTTGCAGATAGTTTGTTGTTCTTTCCTCATGTCTCTTCCCAGACTGACTACTCTTGTGTTCTCTTTTCCTTTTTATCAGGCAGGTGGCTTTATGGATATGTTTGGGATGATGAACGACATGATTGGAAACATGGTAAGAACCCTCCGTGAACCGTTCTGTATGGAGGGGAGTGCTGAGGGTGCTTCTGCCATCCCTCTGATGTCTCTTACCTTACTGTGCTGCCTGGGATGGACTGAGCCACACCTGCCAAGGTGGCAGAGCTGTAAGCTTTGCTTCATCACTGGGAGTCAGTGACAGAGCTTGTTCCTGAGTGCAGGGAGAGGAGAGGGGTGAGGAAGTGTGTGGGTGGACATGTTTAGCAAGAAATAAGTATTAATTTAACAGGAAGGTGTGTTCTCCAGAAAAAGGGACCCATGGGGATTATATTCATCCTATTGTAACTTCTTACTTCATTGTAGAGAGGGAATTAAATGCCATCTCTTCTTCCCTCCCATCCCTTCTTTCCACCATTCCCCATCCCTTCTTGCAGGAGCATATGACAAGTGGTGCTAACTGCCAGACATTCACCTCCTCAACCGTCATCTCTTACTCCAACCTGGGTGATGGGCCCAAAGTCTATCAGGAGACCTCGGAGATGCGTTCAGCACCTGGCGGGGTAAGGAGGAGGCTGCTGGCTTTGCTGTGACGGGGTGGGCTTCGTTTGGTGGCTTTGTGGGTGGCCATCTACAGCACTTCGAGGAGCACATTGTGCTCTTGTGACTCACTGAACCGTGCCAAGGGCCCCTGGGAGGAAATGGGAAGAGCTGGCAGTGGGGAATCCATTCTTCCCTCTTCCTAACGTTGTGTCTGACATCCTGGGAGTGGTGGCAGCGCAAATCGGCCGAAATACTGGAGGCAGGAATCGGGGTGCCTTAGGGGGCTGGGAGAAGGGATGAAAATGTTGATTCCACGTGGGAATCTGCCCCCAGATCCGCGAGACAAGACGAACTGTCAGGGACTCGGACAGCGGCTTGGAACAGATGTCGATCGGGCACCACATCAGGGAGAGGGCCCACATCATGCAGCGCTCCCGGAACCATCGCACAGGTGACCAGGAGGAGAGGCAGGACTACATCAACATGGACGAAAGTGAGTAGCGCCCGTGTCCTCCTCCCAGCCAAGCCAGGCGCTGCTTCCCCACGTGAGCTGGTTGTCTCCCTGCGCAGGCGACGCAGCCGCGTTCGACGACGAGTGGCGGCGAGAGACGTCCCGGTTCCGGCCGCAGCGGGGCCTGGAGTACCGGCGCCACGAGGGCAGCGGAGGCCGGCGGGCCGAAGGGACTCGCCTCGCCATCCAGGGCCCTGAGGATTCTCCCTCCAGACAGTCCCGCCGGTACGACTGGTGAACTCGGAGCAGACCTTGTGGGGGGTGCAGCGTGGCCACCCCCAAAGCTACCTACACGCTCTTGTAAGTCTTAACAAGTTCCTTCCTTGTCTTCCGCTGTGTGGTTGCCTCTTAGCCGCAGGGTTATTTTTGTTCTTTGCACTAATCTTATGTTATTTTGAAGTTTTGTTTGCAAAGGGATTTTCCCGCTTTGAGGGGGCAGGGGAAGGTGTGAATTTGGAGAAGATGCTGTGCTGAACGGGAAGATGGAAGCTGTTTAAGCTGGCTTTGTCATGAACAAAAGACTTGTGGTGTCGGCCTTAACTGATGGCTGAAATAGTATGATGTGATTGCAACCTGTGGAGTGTTTATATTGTCATTGTGTGGAACTTAGAGACCATTTACTGTCCATCCAGTTTGAAATATAAGTAAGTGCTGGTGTCTGCTCTCCTGTGCTTTGGATAGGGCTCACCAGGATGTGATCTAGTGCTTGAAAAGGGACATTTTCCCCTTTTTTTGATGTCTAGACATTGGGTTTAAACATGTCTTTAGCTGTCTTCTGCTTCCTAAGCACCGCTTATTCTTTTTATGTCTTCTGTTTCCTTTCCTCCCAGGTACAGACAGTGAAACTCTGAAGTCCCTTCAAAGCACCACTTGGACCCTCCTCAAATTTAGTATTAACCTCCCTCCCACTTAAGAATTGAAACAAAGCAACTAATCTTCTGCATTGCTCTATTTCACCCCATTTGGGTGCTGCAGTGGGACATGGGGAATCTCACTGATGTGCAAGGAACACATTAATTGCCCATTCCCTCTGCTGTTCTTTTGGCTCTGTTCTTTCTGCCAGTAGTGCTGGGCATGAGGAGCTGCCACCTTGCCTCTTCCATCCTTTCCACTCTTTCTGTGCTGGGTTGGGCTGGTTCTGAAGTTTGTGTTTAGTCCCCTGTGAAAGGAATATGAGGGAATTCTGTTAGAACCCCCTGTCAGTCCCCTCACTGGGACAGAGGCTTTGATTCCCCTGCTGCTCCTTGGTGCATCTGTGGAGAAGCAGAAGGATGTGTGCGTTGGAGAAAGGAGGAGCAGAACAAAAGCTGGATCAGCCTGTGGGCCCCCTGACCCCTCTTCAGTCAGCTCCCCCACTTTTTTAATTTGTGAAACTTGTAACTAGATGTTTACTGAATAAAGAAAGAAACTGTAAAGAATTGGTGGATCAGTCTTTGCCTTCAGCTGACCTAATTGTGCCTGCTGTGGCACAATTACCTCTTTCACATCCTTGGAAAATTGCTGAAGAGAAACTTGGTGTGAAATTGTCAGGCTTTGTTTTCTTACAGGAGATAGCCTAACAGCCTTCCCATGTAGTCACAGGGTGAGATTATGCTCAACATGGAGATTGTGAAAGAAGACCCAAGAGCTCACCATTTGCAAAAAATGCCCTCTAATTGCCGTAGTTTTGCTGCGCACTCAGGGGAAGTCGGTTGATCCTTCTTGCTGCCTGGTCAGCTGTGCAGCCCTGAATTGGGCCTCTGGGGTTCCTGCACAGACAGGGAATATTTCCATTATTTTCCTATCATATCACTGCAACCGTGGCTGACGTTATGAATGACCTTTCCTTAACATCTTTGGGATTAGGTGAAAATTGAGAGGCATTAGGAATATAGGACCAGGGAAGATCTCCTGGGTTCCTGGCCAGTTTTGTGCTCTGGCACACACTCTTACACAAACCTTTTCATCAGTTTATTTGGAACAGAAGGCAGGAAATCAATTCATGACGTAACACTTGGAAGTGGTGTGCTGGGATGTTGTGGTGTATCCCTCTGTTGTACATGTGGGCACTAAAAGAGACACACCTTGCTGGGGACTGACCGTCCTGCCCTGAGACAAGGATGCAGCATCCACCCTCTGGAAGCTCAGGGCAGAGTTTGCAGTGTTCCACCCTTCAAGGAAGTGCAGAGCAGAGCTGTGGCTGGAGCCCACTTCCCTGTGCCGTTTTGTCCCATGGCAAATCCCAGTAGGAGTCATAGAATAGTTTGGTTTGGAAGGGACTTCAAAGGCAGCAGCCTGCTGTCCCTGGCAGTGGAGTGACTTTCTGAGGTGTCATAGCCAAGGCAAGCCCTGAAGAGAGCAAGGCTGAAGGAGGAGCTACACAGAAAAAAGCAGGGCTTGGGAGAGGTTTCGTGGAAGTCATCTCGGGGTTTCCAGACTGAAAGAAGGGACTGCAACAACAGCAGCCCTCATCTCTGGCAGCCTTGAGCCAGTGTGAGATGTGGCACCTGGTGCTTTGATCCAGTGGAGAACCAGCTGAGCTCGGAAAGGTGCTCACAGCAGGGAGATGGTGGCAGTAACAGCTGCCAGGTCCTGGCCAGGTTTTGAGGCCATGCCTGAGATGGAGAGCAGGTGGTGCATTAACAAGCAGACAGGACTCTGTTTCTTCATGCAGAAAAGCCAAATCTTCATTGTATAGGTCATATTTTATAGGATTATCAGAAGGCACTGTGTCAGGTCTTACTGGTGGACAATACATTCACGCTTAGTTCATTGGTCAGTACATGGTATTTTGCATGTCTGTCAAACTTCTGTATTTATAGTTAGTTTACATTTTTTTCCTACTGATTCTCATGAGACAGATCTTATTGTTTATGTAGGTGCTAGTTGTTTTTCACTCCAGAATAAGTTGTTGTGTTAACGAGCTCTCATACCAAGATTGTTTTCACATGGGAACTTGCAAATTACTTAGCTGCACTTAGAAAAAATGACAGGCTAGCTATTTAATTTAACAGAGCAGGCCTGATTTTATGAGGTCTTTCTTTTATAATTCTTCTACCTGTCTACAACAAACAGGAAGGTGACCGTGGTGGTGGTGGGGATTAACATTGACCTTTGATCATGAGGATCCATTCCTCTTTGGGCATGGATTTCCTAATCTTGATCTAATCCCAAATCCTTTTATCTGGATTCAGCCTTTGCTCCCTGTTGGGTGCTGTCCTGATTACAGATTTAGGTAGAACCCTTGAGTGCTCTTCCACTCGGCAGTGGGAGGGTGATTTACCTGGCTGCCTGAGCCTTGCTAACTGCTGCCCACTCCGTGCAAGCCAAGGTTTCAGCCTTCTCCAGGGGCAGCAAAGCACTGGTGGTCTAGGAATATGGGAAAGAGCTTCAGTGAGAGGAGAACTTTGTGTTAAGGCAGGAGCCCAGGGGAGAGTTTTAGAGATCCCTAGCCAGGAAGCAGGGGAAGTTTTTTGAGAGGGTGAGCCCTTTGCCTGTCCCAGTGGTACACGCACTTCTGGCTTCAGAAAGCAGGAGAGTTTTCTCCAAAGAAGGGAACATGCCTACCTGGGGTTCATTTTTTCCTATGAGTTACAGTTTCAAGTGAAATGTTTTGCCCTTAAAAGCAATCTATCTCCTGTATCCGGGCTCAGGAAAGGCTGGGATGAGACCCTTCCACTTCTGAAATGTCTCTGACAGCTGTGCCAGCAAGACGGAGAAAGAGAAGGCTGGATGTTCTCAACATGAAAATCAAACAGTATTTATTTCAGATGGACAGGATGTGGTTCCAGCTCATCCTTATCTATCCAAGGGAGACAAAATCCCTTCTTGCTCCTTCTCCCATAGCTGTCACCTTCAAATTGGAGGAATTGAAGCACCAGATCAGGGCAGTTCAGTGGTACTACTGGATGTTCCTAAGGAGCAAGTAGGACACCTGAAGTGAGACAGAGGGGCTTGACATGCTTTAAAGAGACAGAGGGAAGGGGAGGTGGTAGAATGAGGTGAAGATAGGCTGGAAACACTAGTAGGAAAATGGATAGTACAACCTTGGATGAGAATGCACTAGCTACACACAAATAAACCAGAAACTTTGGTGGTTTTGTTTGTTGTATATTCAGTTTTCCATAATTGAAAATATATCTTGAAAATAAAACCCATGAGAGCTAGAAGGAACTTTGTCCCTACAGGTTTTTGTGGGTAGCCCTGAAGGTCTGTGCATCTTTCGCTGTACTCTTAGAGGTATTGTAAAATACTGGGGGAATTGTAGAATACTGGGGAGAAAGAAGTCTGGGAAAGTTAACCTGGTGTCAATACTTGTAAATAAAAAAATAGATTATATCCACACCTGTAAACCAGGCAAACTGACATTAAATCAAGATAAGAGATGAAAAATGCATTAAATTTAAAAATAAGCATTTATGTCTCCGTGTTTATAATATGTGATCTCACGTCTCAAAATTGTTCCTGTCCAACAACTGTGATAATTTCTGATTAAATTATGGGTTGGGTCAACCCAGAGTCAGAGGTTGCAACAGCACGACACATTTTATCTGGCCACACAAGACTGTGTTCTGAAGTAAAACAAGTAAGTAATTATTAAAACAACAAAAAGGCCAATATTATAAATTTTAGTTCACTGATAGATTTCAAGTAATGAGGGGGAAAAGAGACTATAGAATATGAAATTATTTCCAGTAGGATGTTGTTTGAAACTAATGCTCATTAGTAACTTGATTAATGATCTGAAAGAAGGTATTAAAGCAGTGCTGGTGAAGCTTTCAGAGGATCCAAAGAAGAATGAAAGTAATAAATGTTGGAAAAAGATGAGATGTACTGAACAGTCAGTAACTATTGGTGTGTTTATTTATAAACAGTAGGTATTTTTGGCTGCACTGAATGCAGAAAAGACATTCACCCAGGGACATAAACATAGTCTGTGCTCTTTCAAGATGGGGAGCTCCAAAAGGAATCAGGATTGGAAGACAACCAAGGAAATTAATGGTACTTGCATAATTCTTCCTCTGTGCAGATGGGTTACACTGGGATGCATTAGCCTGTGTTCACCAAGAACAGAGGTAAAAATTCTCCCCTTTGAAGAATCACAGAATGGTTTGGGTTGGAGGGGACCTTGAACATCATCCAGTTCCAGCCCCCTGCCATGGGCAGGGACACCTTCCTCTAGACCAGGTGGCTCAGGTCTCCATCCAACCTGGCCTTGAACACTGCCAGGGATGGGGCACCCACAGCTTCTCTGGGCAACCTGTGCCAGTGCCTCACCATTGTTACAGTGAAGGATTTCATCCTCATGCCCAGCACAAACATGCTCTCTTTCAGTTTGAAGCCATCCCCCTTCTCCTGTCACTACATGCTCTTGTAAATAGTCTTTCTCCATCTTTCTTGTAGGCTCCCTTTAGGTACTGGAAGGCTGCAATTAGGTCCCCCCAAAACCTTCTCTTCTCCAGACTGAACAATCCAAATTCTCTTTGATTTTCTCAGCTTTTCTTTGTAGGAGAGGTGCTCCATCCCTCTGATCAATTTGGTATATCACAGTAGTGAACAGTTGTGGGAAATCTGGATATTGGACAATAGAAAGGAAACCAAAGAAGATTCAAGAAGGGTGAAACAAGGATGGCTTGAAGCCTGGAAACACTGCCCAGGTTAACGTGGACTGAACTCCTGTGTCTGAGTTCACTCCACTGGAGCACAGGCTGGAATACCTGAACGGGAACGAGGCCTCTGACAGCAGAGGGCTCTTCAGCCCAGCAGAAAACCTGCCGCGACCTCACCATGGGACTGGGAGTGAATGCAGACCTTGGGAGAGCAGTAGAGCACACACCTCCGTCTCCCAGCTCCCCCTACGCCAAACCCCATGGAGTGGCCCAAAAAGAATTTGGGGAGTGGGCACAGGAAGTGCACACAAGGGAGTTCTTGGCCACTTGAGAAGCCAAGTAATGTGATTATACCAGTCCCTTTGGGCTTCAAAAATCTGTGAGTAGGAGAGGGAAACAGACTGGCACAGGGCTAGACTGAAGGGAAAGGTGGGAAGGGCAAGAAGAGACCTTTTGACTTGACAAGGGCTTCAAAGCAGGTGGGACCACAAAGAGCTGCAGGAAACAGAGCTCCCTCTGGGCACAATGGTTTGCTCAGGATACAAACAGGCACTGCCATGGGGCTGGAATGTAAAATCCTACAGGCTCCAGTGCTGGAGAACAAAAGGATTTAAAATAGACCTCAACCCAGTGTATAACTTAAAACTGATTTGTTTGATTTGCAGTATTTTTTTACTTTCCATAACACTTTAAAAAATGGACTTGATTTTATATTTCAGCCCTGTCTTAAATGTAACTGGGATTTTTTTTTTCCCTCCTGGGAATATTCCTTTTTAAAGATAACACTTCAAAAACTGTTTCCATGGGGAAATTTCACTTTGGTTATTATT